CTCTAACAAACTGGCCTATTAGCCAAGGCAGCAGGTTCTCACTTTTGATGAAGAGGACATGGATGAATGATGGCCAGATTTCAATCGTATGACCACCTTGGGCAAGTCACTTAGCCATCTTGAATTTTGCTTTCTCATCCATGAAATGGTTTTAAGACTTGCTATGCTCACTTCGCAGGCTTATTATGGGGCTCAAATGACATGAGAAAGTATGTTGAAAACTGAAGGCCTACACACACATGCTTTGTTTTATCCTTTCAAAAACAGTGCTTCAAGTTTCTTAAGTGAGGCTTTGTAGTATTAACTTACTTTCATGGATTTAGCCATTTTAAAGACACTCATAGAACTTATCTTCATATTTTCATTCCGTTTCTGAAAATCACTTTTTTATTTACTGAAAGGCCATAATTCCAGGTGCAAAAGAAGCCGCCTCTCTGCAGTCTGACAAGGTCACAATTTCAAGTCTTACTACTGTTGGCATTTGCAGACCTGTCTCTGACACTGATCAGGTGGTCAATGTGGTAGACAGAGATGTGCTCCTTCCCTTTTTTAAGAAGGAATGGGCCTTGACCTGGTTGGAGCATCATCCTGTACACCGAAAGGTTATGAGTTTGATTTCCAGTCAGGTTGTGAGTTTAATACCTAGTCGGGACACGTATAGGAGGTAACTGATCAATATCTCTCTCTCTTCCCCTCTTTCATAACAAAATCAATAAGCATATCCTTGGGTGAGGATTAAAAATAATAATAATAATTTGGAAGTATTCCAATTGAGGAAAAAAAAAAAGAATTTGCTGCCCAGCAGCAGGGTATGAAGTCAAGGTGTGCCTCAGCTTCAAGAGCACCTAGCCCAAGGCCACAGCTTTTTGGGGACAGCCCACATCTGTCCTGTGGCTGAGTGAGACTAGAATGAAAGCCCAGCCACTCCGGCTGACACAGAACACTGATGGGCAATACTCAGCCCAGAGCTCCTCAGTATTTGGGCTGAGGCTTTGCAGGACTGGACTTCTGCCTCTACCCAGTCCTTCTTCCTCCTTCTTTCTTCACAGGTGCTGATCCTAATAAACGTCTTGCACCCCAAATTCCATCTCAGTATTTCTGGCAGAGAACCCAGCCTGTGGCAGTTGGCTATGAGGAGCTAGAAGGGCCGCATAGGTGAGGTGAGTGGGGAGGGGTATGTTTATTGCAAACAAAGCAAACACAGTATGGAAGGAGTAGTGGGAAGTTGAAATAACACTACTCTACAACCTTGGACAGCTCCGCGTCTAACGATAACTATTATATGATGGGTGGAAAGCTGTTGTTACATGCCCAACTGAGACCAGCTCTCATAAGGGAAGCAATAGCATCGTCTTACTCTCAACCCTAGAGATAACCTGATTTGGAGCTCTCACCTGAAGCAAGGCTGCGCTCTCAGAAAATGCAAATACCTGCCGGTATTACACAGAAATCCCTGCAGGTATCAGGGTTTGTCAAATGATTTAAATGTTAGTCATGGTTCTATTTTTCAACTACCTTTAAATGTGCAGTGAAAGACAAGATGGCATGTTCTAGAACTTAGAGTTTTCTAATTTCTTTTGGAAAGGTAGGTTTAAAGGCTGAAATTTAGCTTGGTGACAGTCAGAGATCATACAAAGTCTCTGTAGTGACAGAAGCCACTGCAAAGCATGGCAATAAAAGGTAATCTTTAAAAATGAAAAGTCTGCCATCCACTAATCCAGTTCCCTTCATCCACTCCTTCCCCCCCCCCCACACACACACTTAAAACCATTCACTGGATTCCCATTGACCTCACAATAAAGACCCCAATCCTATGAGGTCCCACCTACAGAGTCTGACCCCTAACACTGTCTCCAGCCTCATTTCATTCCCTTCTCCTCTCTGATCCCCATTCTCTCTGTGCTGCAACCACATTGGCTCTCTTATAGCCCCTAAAACAAGCCACAGTGCATCCTGCCACAGGGCCTTGCACATGCTGTCCCCTGTGCCCACCTCTCTTCCACCCACGCCTCCACCTGTTTGACAGCTACTCATCTTTTTCCAGCTCAAGCATCTCTCTTCGTTCCTCAGGAAAGCCTTCCTTGGCCCCACACCTCACATCTAGGACAGGTCCTTGGGTGATGAGATCTCACAGAATCACGCTTCTTTCCTTCAGGGCATTTATCTCATCTCATTTAGAATTATGTCTGTGATTACTTGGTCACATCTTCCACTTAGATTAAAAGCTTCAGGAAGGCAAGAATGGTGTCTGGTTTTGCTCTCCATTCTATTCCTAGCTCCTAGCACAGTTCCTGGCAGACAGTAAGCGTCCAATTTGTTGAATAAATGGATGAATGGATGAGTTTGTAAACAAAGGAAAAAAATTGCTGGCTTTGGTAATTTGGCTTGAAATTTCTTGAGGTTAAAATGTAGAAATGAGGAGTTAAAACCAGAAGTGATTGGGTAGAAGATGTGCATGGTGGCAACCATTAGAGAGACTTTCTCCCTAACCACTGGCAAGAGGGAAGGGCGGGTGCGGAGGTAGCAAAGCACCATCAGAAGTCACTGCTGCGAATCACATCACAGAGGACCAAATAAAAATGCCGAGGCCTGAGAGTAAATGAAAATTATTCACTTCCAATTAGGAAGAAATGTTGTAGAATTAAAGTTGGAATATATTATTGAATTGGACTTCATTCTTCAGGTCCCTAAAGTTAACCAGCTGGAACCATTTTTTTTAAGGCACATCCTATTTAATCTTTGGAAATGGAGCATCTGCCTTTTAATGGAAAAACTACTTCTCATTGTAAAGATTGCACACAATGTTCTTGGCCTTTTTGGTCTCTAGAAAAGAGAAGTTATATATCTTGCCGTGTCCTCACTGTATCTTGAACCCCCCTATGTCAACAAAGCAGGCCAAATTAATAGCTAACTTAAAAAAATAATAATAAGTTGAAAGTATCAGCCCACCCTGAGAAATGCTAGGCAGGGCAGGCGAGGTAGATGTATCTGCTTCTCAAGAAGTGATGGGGGACTTAAGAAGTTAGAGATTGAAGGGGCCACTGTATTCAGACAATAGCCCAAGTTTACCATGTAACCGAAAAGTTCTGTTCCTGAATAGGCATCCCTTTCATTCAGTTTCTGAAAATCACTTTTTTATTTACGGAAAGGCCGTAATTCCAGGTGGAAAAGAAGCTTTCTCTCTGCAGTCTGACAAGGCCACAATTTAAAGTCCATAATGTTGGGATTTGCGTTGATCAGGTGGTCAGTGTGGTAGACAGGGATGTGCTCCCTCCCCTCTCTTGGCATCCTAAGCCTGATGACACACGGTAAGGGTATAAGGCAGCTCTTCCATTAGGTCACAGTGAGCTAGAGTTGGGAGGAGCTGGACAAAGTTGTCTATGTCATCTCTCTCTCCTAGTCATCATGTCCCTATAGTTGGGGTCCTTTAGGATCCACTTGGACTTGCATGCTTTCCTAATTGCTCCTCATCCCTATGGTTTCCTAAGAATACTCAAGGTAGCCAGTGTCCCTATTAAAACTCGGGAATCCAGACCTTGGCACAGAACTTCTGAGATATAACTTCAGTGTTCTTGTACTTCCTCAGAGGCTCTATCCTGGATCACACTGGTGAGCAGTGGGCAAGAAGTGTGAGATTGCTCTTCTGTGCAAAAATAAAAATAAAAAATAAAACCCACCCACAGGAATTGTACATGTTTGGGGAGGAGATGGTTACAGAGCCCTTGCCGTTAAGTCATAAGGTGTTCGCTTCCCAGTCATCCTACTGGTCCCCTCTGTGCTGCAACAGCTGTGACCCCCTTTGCTAGAGAAAGTCCTTTCTCCTTGACAGCTCTAGCTGGCTCCACGGACCACCTCCTCCTCTGAGACAATGGGCTCTGGTGTGGGGGACCTCCGGCAGGCCCTGGGGCCCTGGGGCCCTGGAGCACCAGAACCACTCTGGGGAAAGCTGAGAAAGAGCAAAGAGGCTGAGAAGTGACTGCTTTGAGGGATATTGGCCTTTGAGGCATAGCAAGCATCTGAGCTGAGAGGAAAGGGAGGTTGTGCCCCCTCGAGCAAGGCGGGCTAGGTAAGGCTCAGAAAGGGCCTGGCTAGAGTCCCAGTCCTTCAGCCAGAAAGCACCTCAGAATCAGTCGGAGTTGTTTTGGGACACGAGCAAGCCCCCTCACCCCTCAAGTGGCAGAATGGGATTAGAACCAGGTCTCTTGATTCCAAGTGGCAGAATGGGATTAGAACCAGGTCTCTTGATTCCTCTCTTGATTGTGCTCTCATCATCCTGCCACCTCCCAGGAATGGGTTTCATGGGAGAGTTCTTGACCTGTCAAATTCTGGAAATCTCCCTGCACAGATGACTGGCCAGGAAGGCTGGGTCTTCTTGTTTCTGACCACTGACCTTCTTAACCTTCTAATGTCAACTGCCTCGGTCTCTCGCCAGGCCCGTCATTGCAAAGATCTAGTGGGGTCATCAGGGGCTCTTCCCGGTCCTGTGATGGTGGGAGGAGTGACGGGCAGCTTGGACTCTGCCCAGCAACAGATCTTTCAGGGACAGTGGACGTGAGCTTTGGCGTCTGGGCATGCTGATCTTTTTCAGAGAGGGCAGTGCGGGGGAACAGAGGGAAGAATCCAATGACTTCTTGGTCATAGAAATTCCTGCTCTCCCCCTCAGACTGACCCTAGCCTGCCCGTCTGGGCCACAGCAATATGGACGGGCTGGGCCGCTGGAAGAGGAGGGAGAGGCGGGTTTCCTGGTTTCCTTGGCCAGCGCCCGGGTCATGAGCCCTTTCCACCCCTCCTTCGCGGGCTGTCCCTGTCCTCCTCTGCACACCTCCGCCCGCCGGTCCCTCCGGGCTGCCCGGGCGCCACTGCTCCTGTCCCCCCACCCGCCCCGCCAGCCGGGCCAAAGGGCGGCGTGACTCACGGCGCTGCCACCAGCCCACGGCGGGCCGCGGCGTATAAAGGCCGCCCGGCCCCGTCCGCCGCCCGAGGTGCGCAGAGCGCGGAGCATGGCCCGGGGCGCGGAGCGAGGCTGCGGGGGCGCGGGCTGGGGGCTGCGCGGCGCCCTGGCCGCCCTGGCGCTGCTCTCGGCGCTCAACGCCGCGGGCACGGTGTTCGCCCTGTGCCAGTGGCGCGGGCTGAGCGCGGCGCTGCGGGCGCTGGAGGCGCAGCGGGGCCGGGAGCAGCGCGAGGAGGGCGCCCTGCGCGCCTTCCTGGAGGAGCTGAGCCGCGCGCCGCGCCGGGCGCCCCCGCCCCCGGGGGACCCCGCGGGCGCCGCGCGCAACAAGCGCAGCCACGGCGGGGAGCCCGTGCCGCCCCTCCGCGCCGAGAGCCAGGACATGCTGATGATGATGACCTACTCCATGGTGCCGGTAGGCGGGGCCGGGCCCGTGGCGCCCCCCGGCGGGGTGGGCGGCGGGCAGCGTGGGAAAGAGCCCGGTGCCCTCTCCCCCGCCGGCCGGAGGGCGGGGCGCTGTCCAGCGAAGACCCTGAGGATGTCTCCGGGTCCGTGTTAAATGGGGAAGGGTCGTCGATGAGTCTGCAGATACATGAGGGGTGTCGGAAGTGCTTGTAAGAGCCTACTTTCCTTTCCAACTTTGGACGAAAGTTTTCACCTTCCGGTGTGAAGGAAGCCACAGCGGTCCAGGGCTCTCTGCCTGTGCAACGCCCTGGGCCCCCGAGAGCAGGGAGACCCTTCCTGAGAGTGCAGACTTCTTCAACCAAGGGATTCTTTTCCTGCCATGATCTAGTGATCTGGTCTTTCACCTGGCCCATCCCATGTCATGAGATTGCTAACCTAATTGTCTCTGTGTAAGTGAAAACAGTCAGCCCTAATTTTACCAACAACCGAGGACCTTGATGCTGAGAAAGTTGCTCTAAGCATAAAACTGTTTTCTTAAAATCACTGCCAAAGCTGAGGCTCTAATATGGACTCCAGAAATTGCTTGCAGGTGGTGCATCTGAGGAGAGGCTGTAGCTTTTCATTATCTTTCCAAAGCGGCTCCGTTACACTCCCCCTCAAAAGATTTAAGAAACTCTGCTCTAAGGAGAGTCTTTAAAGCAAAGCCCCCATTTTCCCCCCTCCCCCAGTTTTAAGTTTCTTTGATTTTGCTGATTTGTAACTCAGTAATTATCTAACAATTACAAGTAGATCACATTGCTGTTCCCCATTCCATTTTATTATCCATTACAACACCGAGATCTTATTTCACTTTATAATTACAAAGATTTCAGTTCTGTCACCTCACATCAAGTGTGAGGATAGTTTGGAATCCTAGGTATTTGAAGATCAATCCACTTATGCTTCTGTTATGATAGAAGCTTTTAACCTTTTAAATATCTTATATGAACTGAAATGCTTTTAAACCACAGGAAAGTATTACGGTACACACTACACACACGTCTTTTGAGAGGTCAGATTTTTTCCATTCCTGGGTTTATTTTTTTAAAACCCATAAATATTTAAAAATCTGGGCCCAAGCAAGAAACTTCAAAAAACAGAACTCTGTAAAATGAAGAACTACCAGTAGGGGAATTTGCTCTTTCTCTTGTATCTCTATTGTGCATTTTGATGTGTTTTTTATTTGAAACCCTCCAAGAGGATGCATCTGAGCATCATCATTTTATATTTTTTAACCCTGCTTTTAAGGTAGAGATGTATATATCCAATTTGTAGCCTGTCCAGTCACTAACTCAAGAACATAGACTCATTTTCTCGTCAATCTGAAAGCTAAATTACCATCACCTGCTCTATTACAGGTCATTACCATCACATCCGTCAGGCTGAGACATGGGTGTGCTTTGACCTTAGAGTCAGTGAGGGAGTTCCCTTGCAGTGCAGGCAGCGGTTGCCAACCGGTAGTCGGCAGACCACTGGTGGTCTGCAAGGTCCAAAAGGTTGGCGACCGCTGGTCCATGGAAGGCAACCATCATATTGCCGGCTTTCCTCTTGGGAGCAGTTCTCAAACAGTAGGCACATTAAAAATGATTTCAGGGGTCGACCCTCAGACATATAGAATCGTAATTCCCCACCCTTCCACTCCTTCAGTGAATTTGATGCAGGTGGCTCCGGTGCCACACTTTGAGAAATGCTACTCTAGACCACTGCTTTTCTAACTTCAAAGTGCGTGTGAATGTCTTAGGGGTCTTGTTAAAATGCTGATTCTGATTCAGAAGGTCTAAGTTGGGGCCTAAGATTCTGCATTTCTAACAAACCTCCACTGATACCAAAGTTGCTGGTCTGAGTAGTAGCTTGGAGTACCTGGGTTCCAGAGCAGTGGCTGCACACTGAAGTCATATGGGGGGCTTTAAACATGACTGGTGCATAGACTTCACCCCCAGAGATTCTGAACTAATTGTTAAGGGTGCTGCCTGGGGAGGTGCCCACTCCCCAGCAGGAAGAGCCTGGACATGCCTTCCTGATGGCAGCGCTGTCTTAGCGTCTCACTCTCACTGGGCCTCCCTTGAGGCAGAGGAACCAATTTTATTACTGAGGAGCCCTTTCCCCCCCCCCCCCTAACATCTCCCATCTCCCTCTTCACCTTTACAAACTTTCTCATCTTTATTTTTTTTAGAACAGAGAATCATTCAGATAAGGAAATAATATTTAAAAAAGAACTGTCCTAGGGCACTTCTAGTAGAAGAAGTTGCTAAGAGAACTACTTAGTCCCCAGCATGACAGAAGTGTACACACTTCTTCTTTTTTTTTTTTAAAATATAGTTTTATTGATTTTTCACAGAGAGGAAGGGAGAGGGATAGAGAGCTAGAAACATTGATGAGAGAGATACATCGACCAGCTGCCTCCTGCACAGCCCGCTCCAGGGATGTGTCCTCAACCAATGTACATGCCCTTGACCGGAATTGAACCTGGGACCTTTCAGTCCTCAGACTGACGCTCTATCCACTGAGCCAAACCGGTTTCAGCTGTACACACTTCTTAAGGTTGAAGTTGACACCTTCCTCACCCTTTTATAAAGCACCAATAGGTCTTCAATGAGGGGAAGATCAGAGGTCCCCCTCATTGAGATCATCACATGTCCTTAAAGATCTCAGAATAAAGAAGTAAGTTGTACGCAGATTAGTATCATTTCAAAGTCCTCCAGAATGGCTCATTTATCCATGATGATCCTCCTCAAGTTAACGGATAATTCAGAGTTCTGTGCTTTGGGCTGAAAGTACAAGTACTCAGCATGGTGATTCTGGCTAGCACATTCTGACTAGAGACTGGTTGACAGCTGTGAATGACTTTGTTACAAGGGCAACATAAGTACAGTTAGTTTGGCATTGCCAACATATTATATCTTTAAAAGAAAGTGGGTGCTTTGGAGGAAAGTAGTAAAAGGGGCCCTGGGAACCATTCAGCTAGGTGAGTAATGGGAACTCCTGTAGGAGATGCTGTTCTGCCTGGGCTCCATCCGCCCACCCTCTCTCGCTTCTCCTCTCATTAGCTGCTCTCTCTCATTCCATTCTCCAGGTCTCCTTGCTGATGTTCTGGTAGCTTTATCTAGGGTTTAGCATCCAGTATGAAGAAAGTTTTACTCCTCACAGTGTGCACCTTAAGTTCTTAATGGATCAATAATTACATTTAAAAATAATGGAACTCTATGCTCAAAGTCACTGATCATTAGAGAGATGTATACTAAAATGGCAATGAGGTATCACTTCATACCTGTCAGAATGGCTACTATCAACAAACGGCAAAGATATGGAGAAAAAGGAACCTTAGTGGTGGGAATGCAGACTGGTGTAGCTGCTGTGGAAAACAGTATGGAGTTTCCTCAGAAAAGTAAATATGGAACTGCCATTTGACACAGTGATCCCACTTCTAGGAATATATCCTAAGAAACCTGAAGCACCAATCAGAAAGAAAGTATGCACCCTTATGTTCATAGCAGCACAATTTACTGTCGCTAAGATCTGGAAACAGCCCAAATGCCCATCAGCAGATGAACAGATAAAAAGGCTGTGGTACATTTACACACTGAAATACTATGCAGCAGTAAAAAAGGATCTCTTACTCTTTTGAGGCAGCATGGAGAGACCCGGAGGGTATCATCCTAAGTGAAATAAGTCAGTCCGAGAAAGACAAGTATCATATGATCTCACTTATATGTGGAATCTAATGAACCAAATAAACTGATGAAGGGAGTGGATCCAGAGATTTGAAGAATGGAATAGAGTGCAGAATCTAGGAGAGAAGGCGGGGGAGGGTGAATGGGTGGGAGGTAATCAACCAAGGACCTCGTATGCACATATGCATGGCCCATGGACACAGACAATGGGGCAGTGAGGTCCTGGGGTGGGGGCGAGGGTGGGGGGGAAAGGATACCTATGTAATACTTTCAACAATAAATAATTATTGTTTAATATATTTTATTGATTTTTTTTTACAGAGAGAAAGAGAGAGGGATAGAGAGTTAGAAACATCGATGAGAGAGAATCATCGATCAGCTGCGTCTTGCACACTCCCCACTGGCGATATGCCTGCAACCAATGTACATGCCCTTGACCAGAATCAAACCTGGGACCTTTCAGTCCGAAGGCCGACGCTCTATCCACTGAGCCAAACCGGTTTCGGCAAATAATTATTGTTTAAAAAATTAATAAATAATGAAATTCTAAAATTACTAGGAGAAAAACGTAACTTCATTTTAGATCTTGAAATGGGGAAGAGCTTTCTTTCAAACTATAACTTGAAAGTCAAAAGCAAATAATAAATAAATAAAACTTAACATTTAAAAAGCACACACTGCCAAAACTGGTTTGGCTCAGTGAATAGAGCATCAGCCTGCAGATTGAAAGGTCCCGGGTTCGATTCCAGTCAAGGACATGTTGCAGGCACATCCCCAGTAGGAGGTGTGCAAGAGGCAACTGATCAATGATTCTCTCATTGATGTTTCTATCCCTCTCCTTTCTATCCCTCTCCTTTCCTCTCTGTAAAAAAATCAGTAAAAAATATATTTAAAAAAATAAAAATAAAAAGCACACACAACAATAACAAAAATTCTGTATAGCAAATAAGAAAAAGAAACAAGCATATGCCATAAACAAAGGCAAAGATAAATGACAACCTGGAAAACATATTTGCAGCTCATATCATAGATGCAGGGCTAATCTTCTGATACATATAAGCACTCTTAGAAGATATAAGGAAAAAAATGAATAAGTAAATCAGCAACAGAAATAGAAACCAATAGGAAAATGGAACAGACAGTTATGAAAAAAAAGCAAACGCGTGAAAAAGAACTCTTGATTTAAAAAATGCAAATAATAAGTGCCCTGAATAATGTTTACCTGTCAGAATGACACAACTACAAATGTTTTGACAACACATTCTATTGAGGAAATAGACATACTTTTGCATTGGGTTTG